TTTATAGGTAAATTCAAAATTACTACCCATGGGGGATATTTATAGGTCAACTCCAAACCGTTACCCATGAAGGGTAAGTTATAGGTCTACTTAAAACCATTACCCATGAGCAATAATTTGTAGGTCAACTCAAGACCATTACCAATGAGAGATAATTTATAGGTCAACTCAAAACCATTACCCATGAGGGATAGTTTATAGGTAACTCAAAATCATTACTCATGAGGGATAGTTTATAGGTAACTCAAAATCAATACCCATGAGGGATAATTCATAGGTCAACTCCAACTATAAATTATCTCTCATGGGTAATGTTTTTAACCTATCCCTCATGGGTAATGGTTTTGAGTTGACCTATAAATTATCCCTCATGGGTAATGGTTTTGAGTTGACCTATGAATTATCCCTCATGAGTAATGGTTTTGAATTTATAGGTCAACTCAAAATCACTACCCATTAGGGATAATTTATAGGTCTACTTAAATCCATTACCAATGAGGGATAATTTATAGGTCAACTCCAGACCATTACCAATGAGGGATAATTTATAGGTCAAATCCAGACCAATACCCATGAGGGATAGTTTATAGGTAACTCAAAATCACTACCCATGAGGGATAATTTATAGGTCAACTCAAAATCACTACCCATGAGGGATAATTTATAGGTCAACTCAAAATCATTACCAATGAGGGATAATTTTTAGGTCAACTCAAAATCATTACCAATGAGGGATAATTTATAGGTCCACTCAAAACCATTACCCATGAGGGATAATTTATAAGTCCACTCAAGACCATTACCCATGAGGAATAATTTATAGGGCCACTCAAGACCATTACCTATGAAGGATAATTTATAGTTTGACCCAAAATCTCTACCCATGAGGGATAATTTATAGTTTGACCCAAAATCACTATCCTTGAGGGATAATTTATAGTTTGACTCAAAATCATTACCCATGGATGATCTCAAAACCATGATTCATGAGGATTAACTTAGAGGTCAACTCAACCGTTACTCATGAGGGATAATCTATAGTTTAATGAAATATTAGCCATGAGGGTTAATTTATTACATTTAGATGTTCCAAAAATCACTGTTGATGTTGAATCAAGAGCTTGTTGTACAGGAATAATATTAATAAAGATGGATGAAACAGTTTTACCACTTCTCTACACACACATTTATATATATCTCTTTATAAAAATATATAAAAATAAAAATGAAAAATAAAAATATATAAAAGTTATAAAAATATATGAAGCCACTTGTGTTATTTGATTGGCCACTTGTCACTGAATTATATGGGTCTCAGGAAAGTCCTCTCCTCATCAGTAACAGTACAAGGGCGACTTGAAAGAACAAGACTAGGCTTCGTATAGTGCTGGAGCGTATATGTATGCCATTTGGAGATGTCTTTTACTCACAATAGTGAACTTGTATATATAGGTTCATTGTGGTCAGTAAAATACATACATCATAGTTTTTAGATAACCTTTAAAACAGATGAAATTCCTTTTTAATTTTCTTAATTAACTGTTTACGATGTGTAGAATCAACTGTCCACGTATTTGTTATTACTATTTACTTTGCTGCAAGGTTCATATCTGTTCGAAGTAACCTCCAAACTACTAATAAAGTATACTGATATATCCCTGAACAACTATTACTTCACTGTTGCTGTACCTAATTATTGTAACTGTAAATTACATGTTCTGGAGTTCCTTTACAAATGTTGCTCTTTTCACCAAGTGAATATTGAAATATCTTCTTCTTTAGCATGAAAATCACTTGGTTATTAAAAGTATTGAAGCCTTTTAAAAACATAAATCACGTGGTTATTAAAAGTATTGAAGCCTTTTAAAAACATAAATCACTACTTTGTAAAGACGTGTGTGTATGCAGAACTCCCCAAGGCTAGTTATCTGACCAGACAGTATTGACTTGACCAGTGTGTATGCATGCAGAACTCCCCAAGGCCACTTATCTGACCAGACAGTATTGAATCGGACAGTGTGTGTGGGCATACAGACCTTCCCAAGACCACTTATCTGACCAGACAGTATTGAATCGAAGTCAATACTGTCTGGTCAGATAACTGTCTTTGGGGAGTTCTGTATGCACACACACTGACCGATTCAATACTGTCTGGTCAGATAAGTGGCCTTGAGGAGTTCTGCATGTACACACACACTGGTCACACACACACACTGTCCGAGTCAATACTGTCTGGTCAGATAACTGTCCTTGGGGAGTTCTGTATGAAGTCAATACTGTCTGGTCAGATAACTGTCTTTGGGGAGTTCTGTATGCACACACACTGACCGATTCAATACTGTCTGGTCAGATAAGTGGCCTTGAGGAGTTCTGCATGTACACACACACTGGTTCACTACTGTCTGGTCAGATAACTGTCCCTCGGACAGTGTGTGTGGGCATACAGATCTCCCCAAGGACAGTTATCTGACCAGACAGTATTGACTTGTGTTTGAGAAGCATTCATAATAAATGTCTGTTTGTGATCTAATTTTGTTCATCCCTGTGTGTTCTCAGGGGACATGTATAATTTCATGACACTATGATTTTGCAAGATGGATTTAGAAAGAAGGGAACTTTATATGTTAATCTGTGTCCAATTAGCCATGTTGGATTTAGACTAACAAGAACTTTATATGTTTATATGTGTGTCCAATTAGCCATGTTGGATTTAGACTAACAAGAACTTTATATGTTTATATGTGTGTCCAATTAGCCATGTTGGATTTAGACTAACAAGAACTTTATGTTAATGTATGTCCAATTAGCCATGTTGGTTTTAGACTAACAAGAACTTTATATGTTAATCTGTGTCCAATTAGCCATGTTGGATATAGACTAACAAGAACTTTATATGTTTATATGTGTGTCCAATTAGCCATGTTGCATTTAGACTAACAAGAACTTTATGTTAATGTATGTCCAATTAGCCATGTTGATTTTAGACTAACAAGAACTTTATGTTAATGTATGTCCAATTAGCCATGTTGGATTTAGACTAACAAGAACTTTATATGTCTATGTGTGTCCAATTAGCCATGATTCTGTGGAAGATTAGATTCTTTTGTGTTAATTACTTATGAAAAGATGTGTTGAAAATTAAGGAGTGTCTATCAAACATTTTATATCTGGTAAGTTGTTAGATCTCCGTGTTTCACAAAAATGCTACAGTTCTTTGAAACGATTCTATCTGTCAGGTTTCTTTGTGGACGCATACTATTGCAGGGACACTGGCAGTCAGTGAGAAGCACCCATTTTGCTGGTAGGTTATGTGTACTGCAGTTACAAAGAGTTTAGAGATTCTGTTAGTAGGAACTACACTCATCATTTTGCTGATACTGTTAATCAATATTATATTGCCTTGCCAGTTTAGTGCTTGTAATAAAATGATAAATCTTTTTAAATATTTTTTTGTTCTCTTCTTTTGTTTGTTAAAGTAATCTATGGCTATGTTAGAAATATGAGACAAGGCTTTATGGTGCTATCAAAACAGAAACTTGCATGGATGATAATTTCTGTCTTCAGCTTTTTTTTTTTCATTTAACCTTCTTCTAAGTTTAGGTTAGACCTATTACTAAAGAAAATTGTTCAATGATAGTAAAATATACAAAGACAGAATGTATAAGTAGGGTTTGACCATTCAAGGTTTACAGTTCACATCTGCTTGGAAACGCATTGTTTATGGTAAGAATCGGAAAAAATAAACAAAAATTGTTTGGAAAATACAAGAAAACTGGAACTGTATATATTGTTTTAAAGGTTTAAATAATTGAACACAAATTAACGTTTTAATCTTACAGATTTGATACAAATATCAAATGTCTTTATATTCAAATACCAGAACACCTATAGACTAACCACCGTTTGACTGGTGGCAAGATAAAGGGTTAGCCTGAACCTGTACACAGCTGGAAAATGTTAATGTTTAGGATATAATTAGTTTATATAAGAAGAGACTTCTCCAACTGGTGATACAAGAAAGCCATATGTTATACAGTTGTCTAAACCATGCAAACACAAGTTATATCACCAAATATACTCAAACAAGAACAAACTGAATGTAATAATAACAACCTGATAAACAAGATCAAATTATAACAGTTACAACTTAACTTTCATTATTTTCAGAAATGCATCAAAAAACGCACAGAAATTATTAGAGGATTTCTACTTTTCGGTATTTGATCCTGTTCACCATTTCACTTTGGAGGTAATTTACTTAGGTTTTAATTCAGTTGTACATGCTTGTTTAATTTAAGGTCCCATGATTGAGGTAACTTACTTAGGTTTTAATTCAGTCGTACATGTTTGTTTAATTTAAGGTCCCATGATTGAGGTAACTTACTTAGGTTTTAATTCAGTCGTACATGTTTGTTTAATTTAATGTCCCATGATTGGAGGTAACTTACTTAGTTT